TTAAATTCAAAGTGTGGTTACATCAAAAGAGTTGTGATTTCATTGTTATTTATTCTAACTTTACTCTGAGAGAGTGACGAAAAGTTATTATATCTAATGTGAATGCTTGTATTGGATTTATGTATCTTCCTATTTTCATTTATTTCAATTCTCAATAATCATTCTATTCAATTTATGCATTTTTGACAACCAATAGAGTTAATATGTTAAATGCTCTTTCCAAAATACACCAACCTATGACTAACATGTAACGATCCCATTCCTAGTGTAAATTCATGTGAAAGTCATGCATTAGTTAAGATTATCAATAAGATAGTATGTGTGAGAGAGATTATTTTAATTTTACCGTGTTCTAGACGAATTTTGAGTATTCCTACACTATAGCAAGTAACTAACTACTTAATTGGTGATCAAGCAATAAGTAGTACAATGGATATGTAAAATCAATCAAACAATAACATGAAATTCCTAAATTGAAGTCTGGAATTGAAATAAATGAAAAAAGGAATCAAACATTTCATCCAATACAATTGAAAAACCTAGCCAACCATCCTAATTATTAAATTATATAAGAAATAATGAAATGATATCACCGGATCGAGAAAATAATGAATAAAGTGGAGAAATCAAATTTCTTGGCTTGAATACTTCAATAAACTTGTATAATTTGCCTTTTGGTTGATGATTTCGCATTGTTCTTCACCTCCAAAATATGTAGAATATGTGATTTTTAGGTCAAAAGTGGGTTCCCACGATTTGGACTACTTCTGGTATATACAAAGTGTCAAAAGATTGTATATCAAAAGTTTCCAAAACAAGATAAGGAAACAAATTTTTTTTCTCGGAATTGAACCATGCTTAAGCATGGTTCATCACAATACAAATGATTTAGCCTTAGGTAGGAATTTTGAGACCTTGCTTACGCAAGGCTTGCAGGTCTACGCTTAAGCATGGTAAAAGTTTTTTGGGTCTAATTTTGTAAATTGGTCCTTGAACTTTTAGCAATACATTTTTTATCCTTTCACTTGTTATTTTGTCCCTTTAGCTCCTAGTTGCCTCCAATTGAGCTTGTAGCATCTTCATGCTTCATTTTATGTCCTGAGACGACCATTGAAATATTGCAATTTAGTCCCCATGGTTTTGAATTAGCTATTTTTCGCTATTTTTTTTTGCTTGTTTTCTCCGGTTCTTCATCAATTCATGAGTCTTATGTATTAGACATAATATAACACAAATTGGGCTATATTTCATCAAAAGAACTGTGAAATGTCATTATTTAAACCTCCTATAATGTATAAAACCCACTTTTCAAACCTCCAAAATTGAACAGTTAACCTAACTTATAACAAACATGCAAACATGCAAAAATATTTAACTAGCTAACTTGACACTTTATCTCAAAATTGAAATCATGATATTAACTCTAAGCTCTGCTTTAAAATCACAATACAAAAACATTTGTGGTGAAGAATTAAGTATCGCATCATGAATTCATAAATTATTCCATTCCCTACCCTTTATAGTAAAAAATGTTCTTATCCTCACTCATGATATTCACATACCTCCAAACTTGTTCTTTTTGTCTATTTAAATCTATGGCCTAAGGTTGAATTTATAATAAAAGTCATTACCTCATTACAAGAATCATAATCGATAAACCCAAAAAGAAAATGAAATGAGAAAAGATAGCCCTAGGAATTGATCATTACCCTAGAGTTGAACTAGATAGCAGATCTGTAATGATTTTCCCTCTAAATGTAAACAAACATCAAAGCAAGAGAACGCTCAGGATCCAAACGAACAAAATAAAAAATTTACCCACTGGAAAAAAACATATTTTGCTAAAAACCAGATCTGCAGCATGAAGAAATAAACGTATAGTGATTATTACATACTACATTAGCCCCCAAATTACCTAGGTTTCGAGAGAGAATAGAGGCGGCAATAGCATCGTCAAATCAGCTATTTTGGAAAATTTTAAGAAGCATTGAAGATCTATTAAATGGAAGCTCTGATTCCTGATAGAACGTACAATGAAAGATCCAAATTATCTTTGAACCTGGAAGAGGGAAGATGAGGTTTGAGCAGAGGAAATATCAGGGAAGGAGAAAGAAGAAAACATGAAAAAGAAAATAAAAAGAAAAGGAAAAATAATAATCTGTAGAAGTAAAGAAAAAGAAAAATAAGTAAAGAGAGGCAGTTATTTTTTTATGGCATGCTCAAAGGTATGCGTAAAAAATTCCATTTAAAAAAAATACCATTTTTATGGCATTCTTAAATGTATGCCGTAAAAAATTGCACTTTTGCCATAAAATAGATTATTTATGGCGTGCTTTAAATGTAACCCGTAAATACTTTAAATAATTGAATTATTACGGTACACATTTAAGGCATGCCATAAAAGAAAACTTTTTACAACATGCCTGAAATGCATGCTGTAAATAAATACCGTAAAAAATTACTTTTGTTTTAGTGAATGCACCATGCCCATGCTTTGCACATCGCATGTGTAAATTAAGAATAGTTATATCAGACAAGGGATTGTTTATCAAAGGACAAGTTGTGACAATCCTAGCTAAATGCTAATAGTAATAAGATACAATACTAATAAATTTATTTTCACCTTCAATTCACAGATAAATTATCAGTATACATTTAAGAATCTAAATGGAAAAAAAAAAAAGCTACTAAGATATCATTGCATTTCGAAATTATGCACTCATAGATTAATGCATACTTGAAAAAAAGACAGCTATCATGTTAGTGCGGAAACGAAGTGTTGAAGAAAAGCTTGAATTTTTATTGATAGTTTTTGAGTTGCTACAGCACACTCAATAATGTTTTCTTCTTTTTTTTCTTACTATGAGACTACAAGAATGACCTCTATTTATAGGACCACATGGATAACTCTAGAGACATGGGAATATAAATGGACACCTAATAATTTATGAATTTGCATCATGTATTTTCCTGATACATTTTATTCAAGTGCATGTAACCTTATTTATTTCCTAAGATTACAAATTAATGCCACATTTAACACCCCCTCTTAATTTGTAATCTTGAGTTTTTCCTTGATCTTGTCGAACTTGTCAAATGTGACTGCCTTTGTTAAAATATCTGCTGGCTGATCATTTGTGTTGATAAATTCCATGCAAATTTCTTCTCGACTTACCAAATCTCGAATGAAGTGATGACGTAGTTCAATATGCTTCGATCTGGCATGAAAAACTGGATTTTTTGTCATAGCAATTGCTGACATATTGTCGCAATGTATTGTTGTTGGCTCTTGTTGTTCAAACATCAAGTCTTTTAGAATTCTTCTAAGCCAAACTGCTTCACAAGCGGCATCCGCAGCTGCAATGTATTCCGCTTCTGCAGAAGATAGTGCTATAGACCTTTGCTTCCTCGAACTCCATGAAATAATATTTGTTCCAAGACAAAAGATGTAGCCCGATGTACTTTTGCGGTCAACAAGTGAGCCTGCCCAATCACTGTCAGTGTAGCCAACAAGGTTGAAGTTATTTTCCTTTTTGAACTCAATGCCTTGATTTTTTGTACCTTTAAGGTATCTCAAAATTCTTTTTGCCGCCGTAAAGTGATTCTTGCTTAGTTCATTCATGAACCTGGAAAGTAAACTCACTGATTGAGTGATATCCGGCCTTGTGTTGAGGTAGATGAGTGAACCAATTAACTTTCGGTAGACTGTAGCATCTACTTTTTCAGCATCATCATTGACTTGGAATTTTTCATTCGGCCCCATTGGAGTAGAGACTAGCTTGCATTGGTTCATGCTGAATTTTTCTAGAAGATCATCAATATACTTCTCTTGAGATAAAAAAAATTCTTCCCGGGCTTTGTTTGACTTGGATGCCAAGAAAGTATTTCATTTGACCCAAGTCACTCATCTCAAAGTCTCTCATCATCTTTTTCTTGAATTCTTCCACCATGCTTTTACTTGTACCAAAGTATAGAAGATCATCCACATAAAGACATACTACAAGAAAGTCTCTTCCAAGATTATTGACATATAGAGATGATTCACTCGTGCTTCGATTGAATCCATTTTGGATGAAATAGCTATTGATTTTGCTATTCCATGCTCGCGGCGCTTACTTTAAACCATAAAGTGCCTTGTATAAACGATAGACTTTTCCTTCTTGTCCTTTGATTTCAAATCCTTCAGGTTGCTCGACATAAACTTCTTCTTGAATTTCACCATTTAAGAATGCCGATTTTACATCAAGTTGATAAACACATACCTCCAATTGAGCTGCCAGTGCCAAAACAGTACGAATTGTCTCCATTCTTGCAACTGGAGCATATGTTTCAGTGTAATCAATTTCGGGCTGTTGAGAATACCCTTTTGCAACAAGACGTGCTTTGTGCTTTTGGATCGACCCATCTTCATTGTATTTTATTTTATAGACCCACTTGAGTCCAATGATTTTCTTCCCTTCTGGCAAGGCAACAAGCTTCCAAGTTTTGTTTTTCTCGATTGTGGACATTTCTTCATTCATGGCTTTTGTCCAACATACTTCTTTTGAGGCTTCTTCAAATGATTGTGGTTCACTAGAGAACAACCCAAGTTCACATGACTCATATATGTCTTGTAGTGAACGTGTCTTTCTTGGAGGGCTTTCTGGATCAGATTCTTCCTCACTTCTTGGAGTAGGGCTTGGATTATGCTCTAAATTTCCAACTTGTGACGGACCTGCTTGAAATGTTAATGGATCAACAAAATGGTATGGTGTCTGGTCCACAACTTCTTTCCCTTTCCAATCCCAAGATGCAGTTTCATCAAAAACAACGTCTCGTGAAACTGTAATTTTGTTTGTAGTTGGATCTAATAACCGATATCCTTTAGATTCATCACCATATCCAACAAAGACAAGTTTTTGTCCTTTCTCGTCAAATTTCTCCCAATTTTGAGAAGGGATAAGAGCATAAGCAATGCTGCCAAATATTTTGAAGTGATCAACCATTGGCTTCTTTTTGTTCTAAGCTTCGTATGGAGTTTTATTCCGTACAGCCTTTGTTGGAGACCGATTGAGAATGTATACTGCCGTATTTACAGCTTCTGCCCAATACAGATTTGGAAGTCCTTTGCCCTTTAGCATGCTTCTTGCCATTTCAACAATTGTGCGATTTTTTCTTTCGGCCACGCCGTTTTGTTGCGGAGTTCGACTCACAGTTAATTGTCTTTTGATGCCATTTTTTCTGCAATATTCCATGAAAGGATTATAGAGATATTCACCTCCACGATCGGTCCTTAAAGTTTTTATCAAAAAACCACTTTGCCTTTCTTCTTGAGCTTTGAATTGAAGAAATGTGGAATATGCCTCAGATTTTTGACTGAGGAAGAAAACCAATATCATTCTTGTGAAGTCATCAACAAAGAGAATAAAATATCTCTTGTTTCCAAAAGTGGGAGTTTGCATTGGCCCACAAATATCCAAGTGCACAAGCTCAAGTGGTGCTTTCGTTCTCCATGAAGTTTTTGGAAACGACAACTTGTGCAATTTCCCATAGATGCATCCTTCGCACATTTTGTCTATGTGTTGGATGTTAGGAAGTCCCGTCACCATGTTTTTCATTTGGAGTAAACGAAGGCCTCTTTCATGAAGATGACCATATCGTAAATGCCACAAATACGCCAAATCTTCGTCTCTTGCCTTGAGTGCACAATTCTCATTTAGTGGCATCATAAGAGGAAATGTCTTGTTCTTCATTTCAATATTTGCCACACAAATATTTTTCTTTTTGTCAAAAACTTTACATGCACCATCATCAAAGTGGACAGAGAAGTCACTTTGAATAAGTTGTCCAACACTTAGGAGATTATGAGAAAGATTGGGAACATAAAGAACATCTGTGATGAGTTTCTTGTTACCTTCTTTAATTTGGACAGCAATGGTGCCTTTTCCTACCGCATCTCTACTTGTTCCATCGCCAAGAATTACTTGTGAAGTAATATTTGGATTAAGGTCCACAAAGATATCGCGATTTCCTGTCATGTGATTGCTACAACCACTATCTAAATACCAAGGGCTTTGAGCTCCATTTTCATAATTTTGAGAATAAAACAGAATTTCCTTTTTATTCTCTTGAGAAAAGTTTGCTGCACTTTTTCTTTCTGTCATCTCTTTATTTTGAAACCAACAATCCCTTTGAGAATGATTGGGGATCTTGCACCTTTTGCATCTAAAGTAGCACTCCTTTGATTCATGATTCATTTTTTTGCAAATTATGCAAGTTGGATTGTTACCACCAGAAATTTGTGTTTGCTTGCCTTTCCATTTGCTTTGCTTGTCACCCTTCTTCCAATAGCTATCTTTTTGTTTTGTTTGATTTGAGCCTCTGTTGTGTTCTCCATAGTTGTTCGATCCTCTTTTTGATGTTTGCTTTGATTGCAAAGCTTGTTCGGTAGTAGATTGGTTACTCGAACGATTGATCCTTTGCTCATGGGCAAGAAGTGACCCGGTTAACTCATAAATAGTCATTTTGGACAAGTCTTTCGATTCTTCAATTGCGGCTGCAACATGGTCAAACTTTGGAGGAAGGCATCTTAACATTTTCTCCACGACTCTTTTATCTGTAATTGTGTCACCACAGCTTTTGATTTGATTTACTGTCTCGGCTACTCGTGAAGAAAAAACACGAACCGATTCTCGTTCTTCCATTTGGAGATTATCAAAATCTCTCCATAAGGACTGAAGTTTCAAGGCGATCGTTTTCTCCGTTCCTTGAAATTCTTGCATCAATATTTCCCAAGCATCTTTGGCTTTTTTAACACCAAAGATACGAGGGAAAATTGATTTCCCGACTCCTTGTTGAATATAGCGGAGAGCCATTGCATCTTTTCTTTTAAATTCTTTTTGCAATTTTTCGTAATCTTCATTGTCTTCGGATGGTTCTTCGTACTCCTCATCGTCAATGACATCCCAAAGATCTAAGGAGATGAAGAAAGTTTGCATTTGGATGCTCCAGTATTCATAATGCTCGCCTTCGAAGATTGGGACTTGACTGGAAGAATATGTAAACGACGAAACTGTTTGTATGAAAGCCATGAAAAAACGCAATCACAAGTTATGGCTCTGATACCAAATTTGTTAGTGCGGAAACGAAGTGTTGAAGAAAAACTTGAATTTTTATTGATAGTTTTTGAGTTGCTACAGCACACTCAATAATGTTTTCTTCTTTTTTTTTTCTTACTATGAGACTACAAGAATGACCTCTATTTATAGGACCACATGGATAACTCTAGAGACATGGAAATATAAATGGACACCTAATAATTCATGAATTTGCATCATGTATTTTCCTGATACATTTTCTTCAAGTGCATCATGTATTTTCCTGATACATTTTCTTCAAGTGCATGTAACCTTATTTATTTCCTAAGATTACAAATTAATGCCACATTTAACATATCAAACGAGTTTTTCACTAACTGAATGAATAAGGTACTATTCTTGAGGAGTAGCCTAAAACATTGTCTTGTTCTACTGTTGAAAAAACAAAATTTGCAATTTAGACAACTGTTACGGGCAGCTGGTTAAATATAATACCGACCTGTACTACTTGAGGATCTCTAGTTGGCTTTTTTCCTAGTCCTAGACAAATCCATTAGCCCATCTTTATCATTATGGATCTTATAGTTTATTTTGGATGGAACGTATTAAGTTCGACAATTTTGTCTATTCTAATGTGTGTGCTGGTTATAATCGTAACAAAATATATATTTATAAATAAATAAAAATTCAGATTAATGTATGAAACTTTAATGAAAACACAGGGAATGAGTGGTTTATTGGGTGTTCATATTCATGCGTGGAGGCTAAATGTAGGAAAGTGGCCTTCAAAATATATGGTCTTCGTCATTAGCAGTTGAAAGTTGGATATAATCTAATTAAAATGGACAAACATGCCACCTATAAAAGGGAAAATGTCAGCTAGGAAATCTAAAAGCTCTTTGTCCCTTCTTGCCTTGACAACATTACAATGCTGCAGATTTCGGTGATTGTTATCTTCAGTGTTCATCCATGCATGGAGTGTGTGCTCCACAATGAAAATCTCACAAGCTTTTGCAAATAATACCGGAGTACTTGCACTTATCTCAAAATTATAATCATATTAACCCAATTTTAATTTTTTAGTAGATTTTACTGGCCGAGATTATGCCTGGCACAATCTCTTATTGGTATTTATATTTTAAATAGATTATTTCCTAACAGGATTATTGATGGAAATAACCATCAAAGTTTGTCTCCTAAAAGATATAAAATATTTGAGAAATACCAGTACGTAACTAACACTGAGTTGCCAAAGAAAATAAGGGAATTAATAGACCACTGATTATTAATATATATATAAACTCAGAAACCCTCAAATTTTTAATTTGTAGACAGCAAAGTAAAAATGAGAAGCTGCAAAAGGTTTGAACAGGAAAATGACTGAACACTAAATGGATATAATTTCCCTTGTGTAACTTAAAGTGCATGAAATAATTAAAATGTAAAACTAATAAATAAATAAATAAATAAATAAATAAATAAATAAATAAATAAATAAATAAATAAATAAATAAATAAATAAATAAATAAATAAATAAATAAATAAATAAATAAATAAATAAATAAATAAATAGTTGAAGTCGAGTTTCAGAATCCTCCACAAATTTAGTGTTTGCATTTTTGTGATATTACAATATTACTCTATAGATAGTACATTAGATCCTTTTGTGAGTACATAATTTTTGTAACAAGATGCATTCATCATAATCAACTAAAAAATTGACAAAGCTGCCACACTAATTCGATTTTGTATATATTAACATTTTCTCTATGCATTAGAAATCCACAAGAGGTTACCACACACATTCTTTGCACATTGCATTTGGTCTTTTTGGCAATCTCTCTTAGTAAATTCTAGTCTTCATAGAATTTTTCCATTTCAAGTTCAGGGTAGTCTATCCTATTTTTTTTTGCTTATTTGTTAAATTATAGTCTTAATAATGAAACAGTTATTCATTTTTTCTTCTTCATTTATTAAAGCCGTTTTAAGAATTTTCCAAGAAAATCCCAAACCCCACCCTGAAGGTTCTTTGTTCTTTTCTTTCACTTTTCTTTTTCTGAAATCATTAGCTAATTTGAATTTTATGAGATGATGTGCGGAAACCAACGATTGCTGTTAATTTTATTTATGAAATCTTTGAAAAAATGAATTCTTGATTCACTATGGAAAATCCCACCCTGCTAATACTCGAGATAAGCTCTAATGAGGAGGTTGGTTTTGGGAGACCAGAAAAGAAGATTGTGATGACGGTTGGGATGTAAAAGACCGTGATTGGTTATTGAAGCTGTTAAGCTGAGATTGAGGTGAATGCAGATGATTCCGATGATGCACTGGTTGTGAGAGAGACTATTCCAAACGTGAAGTATCAAACATACTACCTTTGAAGCCCACTGCAAAAGTTGACGATTCTGACAATGATTGTTGTGTAATTTTGGATGGAGACCCTGATAAGCTGCTGGCCGTTGAAGCAGATCATGATCTCTTCCATCTGTTGGTAGTTAAGTGTCTTTTTATTATGCAGTGAATTTAGTTTGTTATATAAATTTTAAGGCAACTAGAAATTCAAAAGAAAAATGAGAGCAATCAGACCTGTGAAAGTCACTTCTTTGACTAACATACACGGGTTTCTGGACAAAACCAAGAAATCACACCTCAGGTGCGAAATTATATAAGATCTCCATTAAGATCGAACCATTCTGTCCGAAGAAATGATTATTCAAAATAATGAGTCATAATTAATATGAACACATCTGAGATTGCCTATCACTATTGCTGCAGCTGAACATTCTAAAAGAAATCCTTTTCTCCATTCCTCAAAGATTAAAACAAGCTATCAAAAGCTCATGTTTACGAACAATGGTGCAATTTATGGTTATTTTGGTGAAGACTTTTGCAGATATGTTACTCCAGTGGAGTAGATTGAATACATGGTTTTGGAGTTGTAACAATAAAAAAAAGTCACGGAATCGAGGGGGATTACATGGATAAATTCCATTTAATGTAATTTAGTTTTCAAAGACCAGAGCAACTCTAATAAATATTGCCTCTTTTGAAATCTAAAATGGCTGTTGTATAATATATTTAGTTATTGATGTACTATCACAAAGCTATGATATTGGTTGTACATTGAAATACCTTTGTGACTACCTAATTTCACATAATACAATGCATTGGTTATAATGGAGTTAAAAGTTTGATAAAGTTCAGACTAATTTTATTGTGTATAAATTAATGTTCTATATACACAATGTATTAGCCAAATTGGACATGCTTTGCACGTTCCACGTTGATGGAACTTCTTTGTATAGTTATGTGCCTATATATTGTTCACAGATTCGTTCACATAATTTTTAATGCAATTATATATGTAAAAGAAAACATGTTAAAACAACCCACAATAAACTTGTGTACACGAACAATCTTGAAATTTATGCTTATTTTGGAAAGAGCAAATATATAAAGACTTACACCGATCCAAAACAGAAAAGGAGTAGAAATGGACATGGCCACTTACATTACAAAATTTTGTAATGGGAATAAAAATCCGTGGAGTTGGAGATGGAAGAAATGGGTTATTTAAATGGTTATTAAAAGGTGGGCAACAAACTGAGGGTTTAATATTTTTATTTTTGGGCAAATTTTTATGTTCATTTTCTTGGACATTCTTATTTTCTTATATATATTAATAGGAATTCCTTGAGTTATTATTTTCTATTAAATTTTTATTTAAAGGATTCATTGGTATGGCATTTATTGGAAGACATTGACAATTAACTGAGTTTCGATAACTTTAATTCTTAAGGATACCAAGCGGTGTGTGCTGATATGAATCAATGAATAACAGTCATGTTTTTACGTTGTATTTGGAAAAATTTTAGATGCTTTTTTCAGAAAACTGCATTGTCTTGATGATCCTGAAAACTACATCTTTTTATGTTTTCTTTGGAAGAATTTTAGATTTTTTTTTTCTTATTTTCTTTTCCTAGTGTACATCGACACATGGGTAGTATGATGCTGCACCGAAGGCCTGTTTAGCACAAGGCCGGTAGGTTTCGCAACGCATTATAGCAGTATGAGAACCTATTAATTTCTCAACCTCTCCTTGCGGTGTTGGGAAATTTACAGAGTAATGATCTTGAGAAGTTATGGCCCTTAGGTCGAACAACAATGGTTATCGCACTTTAAAGAGTATGGAGATGCATCATTTTGAACTCGGCTAATGTGCACATCTCTCATATGGCTTTCCCTACCACTACGCAAGGTTATTTGACCTTAAGTGTCATAGGTACACCATTGATGTAACGATCCATAATTTATGGTATAAAACTTATATGAATCGCTACCAAGAGCTTTTTATTTTTATTTTTTGAAAAAATTGTACCAGTTGGCATGAAATTAGGTTTAAAATTTAAACAAGATTAAAAAGATATCAAACTCCAGTCTAATTATTGAAGAATAAATTATTGTCAACGGTAGTGAATGAAAATCTTGTTATATATTACCTAGAAGTTGATGGAACAACATATTATAATGTATTCTACCCATTTAAAATACACGTGCATGGTCTTCATAATAATATGTATTACATTTCAGAATTTCTTTTATTTAGCCAAGAAGTCTGTCGCGGAAATCTTCGATTTCAATTTCAGAAAACAACCAACCGAACACCACAGCCACCAAGGCTTGATCCAAACTTCCCTCACTTTTGGTTTCCCTCTTTACCCTCTCTGGTTGCTCTCTATTTAGTACCCACAAAGGACACAAGGTGGTGACTACAATGGGGAAGAAAGGATGAACAACAGTGATGGAAATCTCTCTCAATTCTCCCAAACCCGGCTACCCCCTTTCTCACAATCTCCCTTCGATTATAGCGCGCACACACGTTGGGAAACTAAGTGAATATATATGGATGCATTAGGTTAACCACTTCTAAAGTTGGGCCAAAAAACTTTAAGTGGGCTGCCACTTAAACTACCTCTAAAATGGGCTAACA